AAAAAAAAAAAAAAAAAAATTCAAATCTTTAAAAAATATTCTGTTCAATAAAACATAACTTTTAAAAAGTGGAAAATTTAATATGGTTTTAGAGTGGTTTCATCCTATTTCTTATGTCATGAACTTATTTTAAACAGTTGGAAATTATTTGGGGTTACTACAAATTTATTGAGTGACTTACCTCTTCTTTTCCTAATGTTAAGAGAACATCTTCAGTCAAAGGAATTACTACAAAAGCAAAACAAAACAAAATTACACATGTATTTAATTCCCAAAAATCAAGCATTTTGCAGTTTTCTAAAACAACTCTTTCCCTCTCCATTTACATAATATACAACTTTTTTTTTCCCTCAAGACAGAGTTTCCCTCTGTCACCCAGGCTTCAGTGCAATGGTGCGATTTGGCTCAGTGTAACCTCTGCCTCCCTGGTTCAAGCAGTTCTTGTGCCTCAGCCTCCTGAGTAGCTGGGATTACCGGTCTGCACCACTATGCCTGGATAATTTTTGTATTTTTAGTAGAGATGACAGTTTTGTCATCTTGGTCAGGCCAGTCTCGAACTCGTGACCTCAAGTGATCCACCTGCTTCGACAATACACAACTTTTTATGAAATGTGTGCAGTTTTTATTTTTATTTAATATCTTTGCACATATAGCCAACTATATATAATTTTAGATAAATCTGATCCTATTTGTGTACCGTTGTGTGCCTTTTTCTTATCTTTTGTTCTTCAAGCCCTCAAAAGCAAAGCTAATAATCTATAGCGTGTTCCTCAAATACTTTCCCTATAGTCATCTATCCTATGTACACATATGTAACACACATATACATATACATATACTTAAAAGGGCTATTTTCATCATCACTGGTTTTACAAGAATGGGATCATATCATACATATCACATTCACCTTATTTTCAGTCAATAAAACCCACAGGGAAACCTAGACCTATATAGGTCTAATTTGTAACTTTTAATGGCTACATAATATTCCAAAATGAATATACCATAATATATTGAGTGATTGTCCTATTGAACACTTTGATTTTAGACTTTGTGTCTAGTTTTTAGCCACAACAAACAAGGATGCAGTAAGCATACTTTTATATATGTTTTTATGTACTGGTATTCTAATTTCTATAGAACAGATTTCCAGAAATGAAATTTCGGAGAATGAAACATGTACTTTGAATCTGAATAGAGAATGTCAGCTTTCTAAAGACATTCCCATGAGCTATGAAAAAAAAAAACAGCAAGAAATATTACAAACTCTTCTAAAATTTTTGCCAGCCTGATGAGTAGAAACAAATGTGTAATTTTGTATAGCAAATTTTAATGTGTTCAATCCTTATGCTAGAAATTTTCCTATCCTAATGAAGTGTTATTTCAAATTTCACAAATGATATGCTACTAAAAACTTTCAAAGGTATCTTTTCAAAGGTATCTAGAAAGCCTCTAACAGGAAAGAACTTTCTACATGTGCTTCATAGATAGGTTTGTATTAGAACTGGTTGTAGGCAGCTAGTAAATTATTTCAAAGCTACTAAATTATTCAGTGCCTGGTAAGGGCTTGCTCTTTGCTTCCAAGATGGTGTCATCTTGCTGTGTCCTCACATAGCGGAAGGCAAAACAGAAAAAAGACTAGACATTACCTTCAACTTCTATTATAAGGTCACTAATCACATCCTAAAGACCTCACCTTTTAACATTATCATACTGGTGATTAAGTCTTAACATGAATTTTAGGGGACATATTTAGGCCATAGTAGACAGCTATTATCAAAAAGGCAGAAAGTAACAAGTGTTGGTAAGGATATAGAGAAACTGAAACCATGTGCACTGTTGGTGGGATTGTAAAATGGTACAACCATTACGGAAAATAATATGGTGGTTCCTCAAAAAACTTAAAATAGAACTATCACATGATCTACTAATTTTATTTCTGGTAGACATCCAAAAGAATTGAAAGCAGGGCCTCAAAGAGATAACTGCACATCCGTGTCCACAGCAGCACTCACATTCACAGTAACGAAATGATAAAAGCAACCCAAGTTTCCATTGACAGATGAATGGATAAACAAACTGTGGTATATACATACAACGAATACTATTTAGCCTTAAAAAGAGAAGGAAATTCTGACATGTGCTACAACATGGAAGAACTATGAGGACATTACACTAAGTAAAATAACCCCGCCACAAAAACACAAATACTCTATGATTCCATTATATGAGGTATCTAAACCAATTAAATTAATAGAAAGTAGAATTGAGGTCGCCAGGGCTGAGAGCAGATGGAAAAGGAGATGCTGTTTAATGTGTATAGAGTTTCAGATTTCCAAGATGAAAAAGTTCTGAAGATAACACTGCACAAAAATGTGAATATACTTAACACTACTATGAACTATATACTTAAAAATGGTTAAAATTGTAAATTTTATATTTTACCATGATCATAAAAATTTTTTAAACTAAACAAAACCTCAGGGACTTGGCTAACTATAACAAAAGGTCTAATATTCATGCTATTGGAATTCCAAGAGAGGAGAAAGAAGGTGGGGAGAGTTGCTGAAAAAATGTATCAAATGTTAGCTAAAAAGTTCTCAAATTCTACAAAAGACATAAATCTACATATTCAAGAATGTGAGTGACTCCTAAATAAGATAAAGCCAAAGAAATCCATGCCAAGATACATCATAATTAATTTTCTAAAAGCTGAAGACAAAGGAAAAAATCCCCAAAGCAGCCAGAAAAAAAAAAAAAAAAAAATCAATGCCTTCTCTGTAAAACTAAGCCCATCAGAACAATAGCATATTTCTCATCAGTACCAAGAGAGGCAGAGAGAAGTGGCACATTTTTAAGTGCTAAAAGAAAACAACCCTGAATTGCATATCCAGTGAAAATATCCTTCAGGAATGAAAGATAAATCAAGAAATTCTCAGATAAAGAAAAACTAAGAAAATGTCGCCAGCAGACCAACTCTAAAAAGAACAGCTCAAGAGAGTTCTTGAAACAGAAATAATAAAAAAGGAATTTTAGAAGAAAGGAAGAACAAACAATAGAAAGAATAAAAACATGGACTAAAGCTACCATAAATCCTACAGCCACAAAAAAATAAATTCTGCTAACAACTTCAGCAAGCTTGGAAATGGATCCTTCCTCAGGCCTTTGAGGAGAATCTATCATTGCAGCCATGAAATCCCTAGGCAGAGGACCCAGTTAAACTGTGTCCAGACTCCTACCTGCAGAAACTGTGAGGTAGTAAATGTCCTCAGACTCCTGACCAACATAAATTGTGAGATAATGAATGTGTATTATATAAAGCCACTCCAAAAAGCCTAAAACAAGATTGAGAAAATGTTGATAAGTAGAATCTGGTCTCTGAGTTTACTGCAGTTAACTATGTATTTTTTGAAACTTTTAAGTTTGAAAAGTCTATAATTGGGGAGATGGGGGAAACCTACTGTGGTCAAGAGATTAAAAAGTCAATTATAACAATCTAATGGACTGGTGATGAAAACCCAAAGCAAATCTGTGGCTGCAGGACTCAATATTTAGTAACTAGCTACATGTTTTAGTTCTAATGTTTTTGTTTTTCTGTTTTTTTGTTCCCCCCCGCCGCCCCACAAGACGGAGTTTCTTTCTTGTTGCCCGGGCTGAAGTATAATGGAGCAATCTCGGCTCACTGCAACCTCTGTGTCCTGGGTTCAGGACAGTCTCCTGCCTCAGGCTTCCAAGTAGCTGGGATTACAGGCACGTACCACCATGCCCGGCTAATTTTTGCATTTTTAGTAGAGACGGGGTTTTACCACGTTGGCCAGGCTGGTCTCGAACTCCTGACCTCAGGTGATCCACCCACCTCAGCTTCCCAAAGTGCTGGGATTACAGGAGTGAGCTATCACGCCCAGCTGTTCTAATTTTAACAAATGTGCTATATGCAAAAAATTTAAAAGAATCTAAGAGGACTCTTAAATTGGTAGCTGATCAAATACACTTGATCAAATACACCATTCAATGAGTGAGGAAACATAAAAGGTCAATTCATGAATCTGAGGTATCTATAAAATATTTTGGAAAAGATGCCTAGGAGATACAAAGATATTAAAGTCTGATATTGCAGAGAAGTCTGGTTTAAATATATAGATCTGCAAGTTGTTATTGGTTGATTTGTGTCCTCATCTCCAAATTTATATGTTGAAATCCTAATCCCCAATACCTTTGAATATTACTGTATTTGGAATTGGGTATTTCAAAAAGTAATTAAGTTAAAATTAGGTCATTACGGTTGGCCTTAATCCAGTAACACTGGTGTCCTTATAAGAGATTAGGACACAGAGGGGAGACCACGTGAAGACAAAGAAAGAAGATGGACATCTACAAGCCAGGGGAAGGGGCCTCAGAAGAAGCCAGCCTTACTGACACCTTGATCTTTAACATGTATCTTCTAGAATTGTGAGAAAATTAATTTTTGTTATTTAAGACACCAAGTCCATAGTAGTTTGTTATGATAGCCCTAGTAAACTAATATGGAAATTACTATCATAGATAGATAAAAACTGGAGAAGATATAATGCTGGTATAGCATATAGGGTCCTCTGAAGAACATGAACACATGGAAGTTATTATTATTGTTCCATTTCCAAAACACAGGCAGATTAGATTTAGTATAATTCTTATGGGCCCT